TTTAGTGTGGAGTGTTTGTTGGTTCAGAATTAGGGACTGTAAACGAGAAGCGGTAGACCTGAGAAAAGGGAAGTAGGTGGTATTCATGTTTAGTCTGTGGTTCATGATGGGAAAGGGACGTATTTGCGCCTTGAGGGTTAGAGACTTCAGGAGAGAATTTGGCTTTTGGGGACCTCTCTCTGGAGTGAGACTATGCTTTGTTGATGGTGGTCAGATTGTGGGTATCTCCCCTACTCCCAGTGGCTCCTGACACTATCAACAATCATGTGAAGACTTGTCGGGAAGAGCAGAAGAATCTACACTTCTTTGCACCAGAGTATGGAGGTAAGGCATCTCAGTTTCTCTGCCCTCTCCCTGTTCTCCAGGTTTCCACCTTATAACCTCAGGCACAGAGGTAATATAACTGAATAATCCAGTCCTTCTCTGCTGGCATACAAAAAGTTCTTAAAAGGTATTTCTGCTACCCCCCTGCCCCCATCCTCTGATTCACCAGAACCTTCTCTGTTTCCCCTAGAAGTCACTAATGTGACAACAGCAGTGGACATCTACTCCTTTGGCATGTGTGCACTGGAGGTGAGGAAACCACAAGCAGTGGTGACGGAAAGGGGTCAAATTAGAAGACAGAAGGGGGAAATGGAGGGAAGACAAGTAAGGTCTTGAGGGAGTGATTCTGGAGCACTGAAATTCTCAAGTTTCTGCTTGTCTTCTCTGTTCCCCCTCACTGCAGATGGCAGTGCTGGAAATTCAGGGCAATGGAGAGTCCTCATATGTGCCACAAGAAGCTATCAGCAGTGCCATCCAGCTTCTAGAAGACCCATTACAGAGGGTAAACATCTTCTGGATCACTCTCTCCTTAACAGACTTTGAAACATCTTTAGGTTTTTCTTCCTTTTTATTTACTGGGCATAAGCTCTTTTCTTTTCTTTTTTTTTTTTTTTTTTTTCTTTTCGAGAGAAAACGAGAGAGAGACAGAGCGTGAGCAGGGGAGGGGCAGAGAGAGAGGGAGACACAGAATCCAAAGCAGGCTCCAGGTGCTGAGTTGTCAGCAGAGAGCCCGACGTGGGGATTGAACCCACAAACCACGAGACCATGACCTGAGCTGAAGTCCGACGCCTAGCCAACTGAGCCACCCAGGCGCCCCAAGAATATGCTCTTTTCTAAGAGCAAGAGAACAGAAAGCAGAAAGGACAGGCAAAAGCAGTGAACATTTCCCTAGGTGGTGCCTACCTTGTGTTTTGTACATACACACAGAGGTTAGGGTTTAAGATGGGTAGCACTGGGGGTAAAGGTTGTGTGGTAAAGGTTATATGTTAATTTAGGTGTGTCTACCTAGAAGTAAACTAACTTAGTGGTTATCTCAGGTAATTGGTATATGCTCTTCAGACAACCATCTTGATATTTTAAAAAATTTTTCTTATTTTAATGTTTTATTTCTTTCTGAGAGAGAGACAGAGAGGGAGGGAGACAGCGTGAGCAGGGGAGGGTCAGAGAGAGAGAGACACACAGAATCTGAAACAGGCTCCAGGCTCTGAGCTAGCTGTCAGCACAGAGCCTGACGCGGGGCTCGAACCCACGAACCGTGAGATCATGACCTGCGCCGAAGTTGGATGCTTAACCGACTGAGCCACCCAGGTGCCCTGACAACCATCTTGATATTTTTAAACAAATTGATCAGGGGCGCTGTCTCCCTCTCTCTCTGACCCTTGCCTGCTCACGCTGTGTGTGTGTGTCTCTCTCTGTCTCAGAAACAAATTGTAAAAAACATTAAAAAATTAAAAAACAAAAAACAAAAAACCCCAAACGGATCAGTTTGAACTAAATTCATTATTTTGCATTTTATATTTATATATAGTTTTAGGTAGGGAAAGTGCCCTGAAAAAAACAGCTAAGATTTAAAGGGTATAAGGTTATGGATCAGTAGATAGGGTATAGTAAGTAAAGGCTGGACAGGAAGGTCCAAACAGGAATAGTTTGTAAATCATTAGACAGTGTGACAGGAAGAGTAGTGTGAAGTCCTGACGCTAGTGTTCAGCATTAGGTTGGGTCATTCAAGTAACAGTTTAGGTATCTGACCTTGCTGGCCTTCACGTTTCTAAGTAGGAAAAGCAGGTTGATTGTCATGGGACCTAGGGGAGGTGGGATGGGGTGGGGTGAGCCTTGCAGAAAGCCAGTGAACTTAATAGATGATTATAGGGGACAAAGGAAATTGTAGGGCTGGGAAATAAAGGAATTTAATAAGTGACTAATGAATTTAATATGTGATTGTAGGAGACAAAGGAAATTGTAGGGCTGGGAAGTAAAAAGATGGTGAGTATCATTGGTCACAACAGATAGGATTGGAAACAGAAGGTTTGGTGAGAGTTGAAGAGGAGTGAGTGGGCAGTGTGTGGGCTAATAGAGAAGTAGGAAATAAGGAAAAAGAATTCGTTAAGTTTGAATAGTAAGGGAAAGAGGAAGCTTGTGGTTGGAGAACAGAAAGATAATTAAAACCAGAAAGACAGTGAACAATAGCTTTCATGTTAATACCTTAGAATTTTCAGAGCCCTTTCAGATACATTTAATAGTCTGCTTCCTCAGTCTGTGCAGACCACCTAGTATGTACAAAGTCTGTGCTAAGTATAGTGAGGGAGATAAAGATGAACACAGTGGGCTGGTTGCCAGATGTCTGTTCTACTTCCTTGTTCCTTTTTCTAGGAGTTCATTCAAAAGTGCCTGCATTCTGAGCCTGCTCGCAGACCAACAGCCAGAGAACTTCTGTTCCACCCAGCACTGTTTGAAGTGCCCTCACTCAAACTCCTTGCTGCCCACTGCATTGTGGGACACCAACGTGAGTCCCCTTGGCCCTGCTAGGAATTTTCTTTTCTTTTTTTTTTTTTTTTTTCCTGCTAGGAATTTTCTTCCCATCTGGAGCCTTAATAACTATCACTAGCACGCTCTTTTCTCTTCCCTTTCCAAAGGAATTTTTTACCCTCCCAGGACCCCTGACATTAATCTGACTATCCCTCTATAACTTCCCATTTCATTATGCCTTCCAGACATGATCCCAGAGAATGCTCTGGAGGAGATCACAAAAAACATGGATACCAGTGCTGTACTGGCTGAAATCCCTGCAGGACCAGGAAGAGAACCAGTTCAGACTTTGTGAGTAACTAACCGAGAGGGTCTGAAAGGGACAGATTGGTCACTGCCACCCTGAGGGTTCTGTTAACTGTCCATTCTTTGGTAATTGTTGAAACTGCTGTTTTCTTATTTCCTTCCTTTCACCTGCTTTCTCTCTTTGCTCCTGCAGGTACTCTCAGTCACCAGCTCTGGAATTGGATAAATTCCTCGAAGATGTCAGGTGAGAGGAAAGGCTTGCTTGAGGAAGCCTGAGTGGGTGTCCTGAGCCATTCACAGAGCCCATGTGACCTGTCTTGATCTCCCTCCAGGAATGGGATCTACCCCCTGACAGCCTTTGGGCTACCTCGGCCCCAGCAGCCACAGCAGGAGGAGGTGACATCACCTGTTGTGCCCCCCTCTGTCAAGACTCCAACACCTGAACCAGCTGAGGTGGAGACCCGCAAGGTGGGGCTTTGTGGGTGTGGAGGTCTCTGTGGTCATGGTGGAAGGGAGAGAGGACATGTTAAATACGGCTTTGTCCTTTAGAGAAAAGACTGTTTCTGCTTTCTAGCAAGCTTGTCCTGTGGACTGGAAAGCCTTCCAGCTGTTGGGGGTTTTCATTGACTGGTGTCTGCTGTAGTGACCCTGTCTGTGCCCTCTCCCTAGGTGGTGCTGATGCAGTGCAACATCGAGTCAGTGGAGGAGGGAGTCAAACACCATGTAAGGCTCAGGGCCAGGGCTGCAGAGGGCTGGGCGGACAGGTGGTGGAGAAGAGGTTCTTCATATTTTGACTGTCTTGTTCTCCAGCTGACGCTTCTTCTGAAGCTGGAGGACAAACTCAACCGGCACCTGAGCTGTGACCTGATGCCAAGTGAGTGTCTCCTTTCCCTCAGAGGATGAGTCTTTGAGCCTCATCTGTGAGAGGCATTCGCAGGGGTGGGGAAGGTTACCAGGCAGGAGCACATTTGATGTGTGGAACGGGTGTCTTAAACAGCTCCTAAAACTGGAGCATGGGTCCTACAGCTTTGCTTGTGGTGCTCTCTCCCAGCCGGGGGTAACCCCGTTGGAAGGGCTCTGGGCCCCTTGCTCCCACACGGTGCTCACCCTCTCCCGTTTCTCTGTCAGATGAGAACATCCCTGAGTTGGCAGCGGAGCTGGTGCAGCTGGGCTTCATTAGCGAGGTGAGCTTTCTGCCTTCGGCCGCCCTGGCTGCCTCCAATCTCCTCTCCTCTCCTCTCGCCCCGTCTCACCGAGCTCTTCTCCCCCAGGCTGACCAGAGCCGACTGACTTCTCTGCTAGAGGAGACCCTGAACAAGTTCAATTTTGCCAGGAACAGCACCCTCAACTCAGCCGCTGTCACCGTCTCCTCTTAGAGCTCACTCGGGCCAGGCCCCTAATCAGAGCTGTGGCCGTCGCTAGATGTGCAACAGCCTTCCTGCCCCTTCCCCCCAGTCAGTATTACCCTGTGAAGCCCCTTCTCTCCTTTATTATTCAGGAGGGCTTTGGGGCTCCCTGGTTCTGAGCATCACCCTCCCTCTTCCCCCCTCTTCCTCCCCTCTGCACTTTGTTTACTTGTTTTGCACAGACGTGGGCCTGGGCCTTCTCAGCAGCCGCCTTCTAGTTGGGGGCTAGTAGCTGATCTGCCGGCTCCCGCCCAGCCTGTGTGGAAGGAGGCCCACGGGCGCTGGGGGAGCTGAATTCTACAATCCCGCTGGGGCGGACGGGGCGGGAGAGAAGGGTGGTGCTGCAGTGGTGGCCCTGGGGGGCCATTCGATTCGCCTCAGTTGCTGCTGTAATAAAAGTCTACTTTTTGCTACAAGCGTCATGTGTGTGTGCGCCTTTCCCGCTAGGGGGCGCGAGCTCGGAGCCCCGCCCGGGGCGTGGGGTTGGGCCTACAGGTGGCAGGCGGGCGGAACTGGCCGGGGAGCGAGGGAGGGGCCGGGGCCAGGTAGAGCTGCCCTGCGGCGGGGCGCGGAGGGCCGGGATGAGGTGCTGCCGCCTCTGCAGATTCGGTAACTTCCGGCCCCGGTCTCGGTGCCCTGCGTCTGCCGACGACCCACCCTTCGGCCCCTCGTTCCCTGGGGGGGCGGCCACGAGGGGCCCTCCGGTTCCTTTCCCGGCTCAGGCCTGCCCCCTCCCCCGTGCTTTGCAGACGCGGCCCGCGGCCCCCGGCGGCTTATGCGCGTGGGCCTCGCGCTGATCCTGGTGGGCCACGTGAACCTGCTCCTGGGGGCCGTGCTGCACGGCACCGTCCTGCGACACGTGGCCAATCCCCGCGGCGCCGTCACCCCGGAGTACACCACGGCCAATGTCATCTCCGTGGGCTCGGGGCTGCTGGTGAGCGCGGCGGGGGGGGCGGGGCCGCGGGCGTGAGGGAGGGGGCGGGGCGGAGAGAGGCGCGGGCCTCAGGCATTGTGTCTTCCAGAGTGTTTCCGTGGGACTTGTGGCCCTCTTGGCATCCAGGAACCTTCTGCGCCCAGGACTGGTGAGGGGATTTTTGGAGCTTTAATGAGGTCTCGAGTCAGGGAAATGATTGGCCCCGACTCAGCTTCACCTTCAGTTGGGAGGAGGAGCCTCAAATAGAGAAACCGAGGTGTCTGAGCGGCGGGAGAGTCGCAGCTACTCACCCTGATCTTCTGCCCCCACCAGCACTGGGCTCTCCTGGCGCTAGCTCTGGCGAACCTGCTCTTATCTGCTGCCTGCTCCCTGGGCGTCCTCCTTGCTGTGTCACTTACTGTGGCCAACGGTGGCCGCCGTCTTATTGCTGACTGCCATCCAGGACTGCTGGATCCTTTGCTACCGATGGACCAGGGGCCTGGACGCACCGACTGCCCCTTTGACCCCACAAGAATCTATGTGAGTGCGTGCTTTTTTGCAGGCTTTTTTGCAGTCTAGAGGGCTTTGGTCCTGCCTTTTCAACCACCCCTACTTGCCTCCTGCCCTGCTCCCTCTCAGTGCCTCACGCTCCCTCTTCACCTTTTAGGACACAGCCTTGGCTCTCTGGATCCCTTCTTTAGTCATGTCTGCTGGAGAGGCCGCTCTATCTGGTTACTGCTGTGTGGCTGCACTCACCTTACGTGGGGTCGGGCCCTGCAGGAAGGAAGGGCTTCAGGAGCAGGTAAAGAAGATGAACAGGAAGGGCTCATTCAAAACAGACTGCCTGTAATTCAGGGCAGGAGTACTAATTCCATCCTCCCCTGTAGCTGGAGGAACTGACAGAGTTTGAACTTCCTAAGTGTAAAAGACAGGAAAATGAGCAGCTACTGGATCAAAATCAAGAAATCCAGTCATCACACAAAAGCTGGGCCTAGGACAGGTAATCTGTGGACTGTGGCCTGGGAAGGGGGAGAGGCAGGGAACCACTCTTAGAACTGGGTCAAGTTCTTTGCCAGGCTGCTTGCCCTCTGACCCAGGTTCTCCCTTCTGTGGAACAGGTGTGGATCCAGAGGCTCAGTACACAAGGTTTTCCACTGACCCCCAGGATCACATAAACAGTTATAATAAAATAATTCTTTTCTTCTACTTGATTTTGATTCCTCTTGGGGGTTAAAGGTCTCTGGGCTGATACTGGAGATGACCTTGATCGAAGAACACAGTGGCCTGGACTCTGTTATCTACAAGACTTTAATGAGGGAGAGAACCCAGTTCTAACAGTTACTGAAAGGAAAAGCTGGTGCTGGGTAGCCCTCCACACCACTGACTAATGAATTTCAGCACATCCTGGCACAATGGGCTGTGGGAGGTCTGTGGACAGAAAAACAGGAGGAACTCATTAGTGCTAAGGAAAAGCATTCCTTCTATTAAGAAAATCAACCCTATCTTAGTATGGGAAGCAGTGTTCAGGGCCTGCACCTGCCCTGTTGACATTCCCATCCACCCTTCTAGTGGTTTCCTATTTTCCTTCAGTGCTGTTAGCCCTGCCCTGACCCTTCAAGTCTCCCTCTCTAACCTTGATCGCCATAAGGAACTTATTCCAGTTATCCTTGTTAGCTGCCTTCCCTGGCCGCTTAAATTCAATTTTGTTCCTCAGAATGGGGTATCCTGTAGGAGAAGAAAAAAAGATGAACTGGCATTTGAGGGAGAAAACAAAGAACAATTTAGGAGCAGGAAGTAGAATGTTCGGAACACCTGAGCAGCTCAACTGGTTGAGCACCCGACTCTTGATTTTGGTTCAGGTCATGATTCCAGGGTCATGGGTTGAGCCCCGTGTCAGGCTCCATGCTGACCATGGAGCCTGTTTAAGATTCTCTTTCTCCCTCTCCCTCTGCTCTTCTCCCCTGCTCATACTCTCTCTCAAAAAAAACAAACAAACAAGTTCTTCTGCCACATTTACTGAATCAGAGTAAAATACTTAAAAAAATTTTTTTAAATGTTTATGTTTTGAGAGACAAAGCACGAGCAGGGGAGGGGCAGAGAGAGAGAGGGAGACACAGAATCTGAAGCAGGCTCCAGACTCTGAGCTGTCAGCACGGAGCCCGAAGAATACTGTCTTGAACCTGCTGTTTGCCCCTCCTTTCCACCCACCACAGAACGCTGGGTGCTATAGGGTGCTGTACCTGTAATGAGGCAGGGCAGTGCCCGAACTCCAGTGCTCGCCGCCAGCAGGGAAGCCTCATAGGCACCGCGCTCATCCCGAGGCAGAACCTGCTCCAGCCGCTGGTCCATTGAGACTGTGAGTACCCAGTCTCGAACCTCTTCTCTCTGAGCCTCCTAGGAAGGACAGGGGGCAGCAGCCTTTTCAGCACCAGCCTCCACAGCAGCAAGTGGAAGGCGGTGAGTGGGGAGTTTTACTAAGCTGTTGTTCCATGCATCACCTTTAACCCATACGTGATCCTTCTTGGATGGGGTTCGTGGTCATCACCTTAGTTTTTTTCCTCTGCTACTACTTTCACTAAAGGAACAGTGAGGGCTGAAGCCCTTCCAAAGATGTTGCTAACTGATGGTCATTATAAAGACTAGCAGGGCCAGAGTAACGTGTCCTCCATTCACAACATCCTAACACCAGTGAGGCCTCCCGTTCTCCAATCTTGTATCCTTACCGGTACATGCTGCTTGGCTGGGAGTGGCACTTCAAAGGGAATGTCTGTATCTTGAAAGTCAGAGTGGTCAAGGGCATCCAGAGTCCCTTCTTCGATCGCCTGTGGCAGAGTGGGCAACCATGAGATAGACGCAGCTTGTGACAGGCCAAACCTCCCACCCTCTGGGCACAACTCTATGCTCACATCAGTCAGATCCAGAAAGCGGTTGAGGAAGATGAATGCCATGTTCTCCCAGCCAACTGCCTGCAGCAGAAAAAAGTTGCAAGTGGGAGCGAGCAGCTGGGCTCAGATGCTGCTTTTCCAGGATGCAGGGGGAGGAGTTCAGGAAGTCACAGGAAAACGATATCCCCCATAACATCAGCCCCGCACTCTGCTCTACCTGAGCAGACGGGTAGTCTACCTTCTGACTTTTGATTTCCTTAATTCCTCGGCCACACCCTTCCTTGTCCCAGCTCACCTTGGCAGCAGTGCCAGCTTCATAGAAGGCCTTGTCTGCAGGTAATAGCTGGGTGTGGCGTAAGAGCGAAACAGAAAGCCTGGCAGCCACAGTTTCCTATAGAGTAAAGTCAAAACATTATGATCCTGGAATGGTAGTGACTGAGCTACCAGGCCAGTGACCTTATAATTAAGGCAGAACCAGAAAACCAATAATCCATATTAAATTGCACTGGATCTCAAGTGGTTCTGGGTCTTAGTTTTTTGTTTTTTCTTCATACACACAAGAGAACCAGGCCTAGATGATTTCTATCATTCAGGTACACACAATAAATCTACAGTACACTATCCAGAGAAAGCCAAAGGTATGTGTATATTGTAAGAGATCAATACAGAAGTTGTGGGATTTGAATGTTTAAGCATAATGAAGGTGGAGCTGTGTGGGCAGAGAGCCCCGAGAAAGTCAAGGGAGGAGTCAGGAAGAAAAGCATCTTAGCAAGGGTTAAAGACTTCTTTATGGGGCGCCTGGCTGGCTCAGTTGGTTGAGCATCCTACTTCACTCAGGTCATGATCTCACCACTCATGGGTTCGAGCCCCACATCAGGCTCTGTGCTGACAGCTCAGAGCCTGGAGCCTGCTTTGGATTTTGTGTCTCCCTCTCTCTTTGCCCCTCCCCTGCTCATGCTCTGTCTCTTTCTGTTTCTCAATAATAAAAAAAAAAATGCTAAAAACAAAAAAAAATAATAAAATTCTAAAAAAAAGAAAAAGAAAAAAAAAAAGATTTCTTTAAACAAGAGAAGGTAGGTAAGACGTGGACCAAGCTTGAAAATCCAGAACTTGAATTCATTCAACTTCATACATGTGAAGACGTGTCTATAAGACTGAGAGCTCCCCCCTCCCCCCACCTCACCAGCTGTTTGACGCTCTGGGCTGCCGAACGAGTGGCATAGTAGTGAGCAATCAGCAGCATCGTCTCAAACTCCTCATGGGCTGGAGAGTTCACCTCACTAGACTTGACCACGTTTTCACACTAGAGTAGGAAGAGCACAGCCTGAGTCAGGAGGTCAGAGGAGGGCCAGAGCCATGGGGTGGTCAGCTGATGGTCACCTGGACAAAGGTGTACACCATCTGAAGGTGAAGGTATATGTTATAAAAGAGGACAGGAGGACAGGGACAGGTGGAGTAGTTTTCTCACTCTGTTGTGGAACCGACTTCCTCACCAAGTTGAAGAGCACATCCCGAAGATCAGCCCAGTTGTGATAGGCCTCAGCGCTGTTGGTCCCCGGTGAGCTCACCATGTCCATGAAGATCCTTTTGTAGATGTTGAAGTTCTAGGGAGAATGGGGAAAGGAGAGCTGAGTGAGAAGGGATAGCCAGAAGAGAAAGTGCATGTGGGGCCAAAAAGGAAAACAGGCTGTGTGTATGTGTGTGCGCGGGTGTGCGTGTGTGCGCGCACACGCGAGAAGACCGTTCCTGAGGGAATGGGTGGTTCTGAGAAGAAGGTAACAATTTCCTTGAGGAAACATTCACCCCAAAGAGCAGGCTGGTACCTGTGGGTTAGCAGGGGCTCCGTGCTGCACATACAGGGCTAGTGCCTGGCCATAGCCACCCTCTCGGATCAGGTGAGTCGCATACAAAGCCACATACTTGTGCAGAATCTTGTAGTTCTGTCCCGGGGATGGAGGAAAAGCACGGGGAGGTTGGGATCAGTAAGACCAGGCAATGAGGGTGGGGTGGTGACTTGAAGCCGTGGATTTGTTTAGGAGGCCAAGGCATATGCAAGCCAGGCCCAGCCAGGCCTCTGACCCCAGTTTCAAGAGTGCGGAAGACGGACTCTTTGATGCTGGTTAGGGATTTCTGTGGTTGGGCTTTGGAGGAAGTAAGAGAGATACAGCCCTGGGCCAAGTAGAGACAAGGGAAAATGTCTAGAAGAGCAGGGGATGGGAGAAAGAGCAGTACCTGCTTGGTGGCCGTTTCAATGCACTTGTCCCACTGGCCCTGCTCCACGTACAGGTCCAAAGCAGCCACCACATCCACACCCACCAGCTAGGGATCGGTGGAAAAGATAAGAGTTAAGAGGACAGAGATGACATGCGCAGGGAAAGGAGGGAGAGCATCTCTTGAGTCTCCATGCGTTCTCCCGCTTGCTAGCTCTCTGCATGTCTCACCGAGTCCACTTTGCCCTGGTTCTTGAGAAACTCTTTATAATTCTGGTCCACATAGTCTTCATACCTGTGAAGATGTGCAGAGATCTAGCGCTGCATGGTCCCGGGATGCACACCCTTCCCATGAGAACTCCCTCTCTTTACAAAAGGGAGTAAAAAGAGAACTTCCCAGAAGGGGTCAGACCCGAGAAGGGGTCAGAAGCTTACCGGGGATCTAACTCCTTGGCCACACGCTTGGCCTTGTTCCACTCCTCACCCTCAATGAAAGCATCGATCGCTTCCTTGACTAAGTCCAGGTTCAGATAGAGCTCTGCAGCCTGCACAGTGGGAAAATGGGGCTTGGAGACTATCTTTCCCTCCTGTTTCCACAGAACTGCATGTCACACCCTCCAGGAGCCCACCTCCACACCCCTCTGGGTGTAGCTGGTACTGTTCCCATCCCTCTCTGTGGAATCTCTCTCTTTGGTCCCAGCACTCTACTTACTGCGCTGTGCTTTCTGATTCCAATCAGCTGGGGTCCCACAGCCCGAACTACTTCCAGACTGCGCTGGGGAGGCAGAAACTTGATGGCGAGTTCAGCTGCCTGAGGGGTTGAATAGAAGATGACAATGGGTAGGAGAGACCAATACCGCTGGGCATCCTCAGCCTGATCTGTTTATTCCTTTCAGTTGTAGACGGTCTGTCCTGTACTTTCCTTCACCTTCTACCCTCCTGGGCAAAGCCTGCCTCACGGTCCTTTAGAGCCTTTAAATAACAGTGTGTGGAGTTTGGTGAGGAATCCGAGGGATACAGGAGTGCTGATGCACAGGGGCACATGTACCCCAATGTTCACAGCAGCACTCTCAACAATAGCCAAAACATGGAAAGAGCCTAAGTGTCCATC